TGCGCGTCCCCGGCCGCGCCAGGCCGGGCGCTCGGAAAGGCGTCCGGGCAGCGCCTGAAAGTTCCTACCTTGGCGTCTGCCTCATGCGCGCCGCGCAGCGCGGAGTCTGGAACGTTCAGGAGGGCTCTGTAACGGAAGGCTGTGCAGGGAGACAATTCCTGGAAGAACGGGGGGCAGTTGTGGGGCGGGGTTATTCGGGCATTCAGGTGGGCGCCCCGCATAGGCGTCCGAAGGCCCGCGTCGTTAGGGAGCGTGGGAGCGGCGTCTCTGGTTACGGGGTCGGGCAAAGGTTAAAGGGCAGCCTCCGAGTTGGAGAGCGCGGACTTTGAGCAATGGCCGCGTCTGGGGAACCCGGGAAGCAGAAGCAGGAGGACGTGGCGGCAGTTGTGGTGGTGGGCTCCTGCATGACCGACCTGGTCAGGTTAGTCCGGGGCCAGGACGCAGTCAGCGGCTCTCGGGAGGGACGGATGGTGTTCTCTCCTCTCACTGCCATGCACGGGGCTTTGGGGATGAAGAGTGTTTGCTTTCCGTGTGAGCCACAGGTTTCCTCAGCCCTAATGTGCCTTGATGGGGTATAAGAGGCAGGATTTGAGTTTGTAAAGGTAAGTGTCAGGTGAGGAAACATAAAGGCCAGGGTGTAGTGAAAGCCCTAGTGTCACTAGAAGAGCTTCCAAAGAACTGTTCCTGATTTCTGTACCAGGCTACTGAGACTCTCCCCTAACTAGCCTAGTGACTTTGGCCAAGTCATTTTACCTCCGAGAATGAGAAGACTAAATGAAGTAAAGTGTTTTGAGCCATAACATTTTCCAGGTTGGGTATTATTTGTCTGAACGTGTATAAAAGGAGTGGAACAGAGGTCAAAAATGCGATCAGTCACCTTTCACCATACTGATTGTTGGCATTTCTGCATTTTATATTTAAAGCTTATTATTCAGTATTAGAGTAACCATAGGTTGCCAATGGCAAACCAAGTATGAGTCAAAATAAAAACTTTTAAACACAATATTTACAACCATAAAAAAGTAATCAAGTAATGAAACAAAATATGCTAGCTGAAAATAGAGTTAGGTTAGTGAAACTGGTTGGAGAGATCTTTCCAATTTATCTTTTTTTTTAATGAAAATGGCTTTTTTTATTGCAAAAGTAGTATTTATTTCTTGTAAAAGAAAATCCTACCATTCAGGTTGCTTCAGTTCAATGTTTTGGTGAGTGGCTTTTTAGATATAATGCTATTTTTACATTATAAAAATTAAAAATGATCAGAACTACTACAATAAGACCTCATCTGTCCTCAACCTTGCTTTTCCGAAGGATAACCAAGAACCTAGAAATAAATAAAAAGTCCTTGGGACAAGCAAAATAAGTCACCAAGTCCATGCACTAAACCACCTGTGTTTTACTTAGAAAATAATTTTAGGGCCTTCACATAGCCAACTTAATCTTACATTGCTTAAAATGTTTATAAGCTAGGTTATCAAATATCCAGACTGAGATTAGAAAGGTGGAGAAGCTGCTAGAGGGAGGTATAGTGACTACTAAAACCCTGAAAGTGAGGACAGTGTAGCAACAAAAGAATTTTAAATTCCAAGAGCCTTTATTTTTCCACAAATATTTGAGCTACCTTGTGCCAAGACAGATGTACTTCCTTTAGTGAAAGAGCATAAAGTTCAGTCTAGTTTTGCCCATTTGGTAAAGAGGCCTCCACACCTTTCTCTAGAGCCAGAGTCAGCAAACCTTTTCGCAAAGGGCCAGATAGTAATTACTTTAAGCCACATATGCTCTAGGTCACATATTCTTGTTTTTGTTTTGTTTTTTTGTTTTTTATTTTTGAAGTATTAGTTTACAATGTGTCAATTTCTGGTGTACAGCACAATGTTTCAGTCATACATATACATAGCTATATTCATATATTTGTCTTCATATTCTTTTTCATTATAGGTTACTACAAGATACTGAATGTAGTTCACAGTGCTATGGAGAAGAAACTTGTTAACATATTATTTTCTCTTAACATGTAAAAAGTATAAAACATAAAAAACTATTTTGATCTTATATGCCTTACAAAAACAGCCTGCAGGCCATAGTTTGCTGACTGCTGTCTAAAGCATCACTGTTTGACAGCTCACTAGAGTAACTCAGTAGATGTTACTAGTGATGACTCTTCAAGAAAAGGGAATATGGTAATCATTAAATTTTATATAAAAATAGGGCATGTGTTTCACTTTAGAAATAGTTCCATCAAATATATTTAAAGTTTAGTTACATAAGTTCAGACATCTAAAATAATTCATTCCTTAGAAAATCCATCCAGCTAAAATTTTACCATACTTTTATAGGTGAAGTGGCAGAAGAGAAAGAAAACAAAACAATTTTCCCATGCACCCTACCTAAATAAGAATGTCAGGGTTAGAATTCAGAGCCACCTTCTTATTAAACTAAGAACTTTCTGTGAGGTTTGACCATCACACGTTAAAAATAACGATACTACTTTCTAAAATGAATACTCTTGAAATTTGGGGGAGGGCAGGGTCCCAAAGTATCTGTCAGGATTTAGAATTTTATATCAGAGCTAGAGGAATTGAGATTTTTTTCCCAGCCCTTCAGTTTATAGATGAGTATGGTGAAGTCCAGAGAAGAAACTCTTACATTATGAATAACCTTTTTTATTTCTCTAATTTTGCCGTTTTCTTTCCTTTATAAGATATCCAAGTTTCTAGTCTTCACATGAATCGCTAGTAAAAATTTTATTCCCTTATAGACTCTTTCTCATGACTTTCCTACAAACTTTTCATGGTTTCTGATTACTTCTGCCTCTGAAGATCTTTATTAAATACCTGAGTATAGGATTTTTATTTAAAATCCTGCATCCCTGAAAAACTTGGGTCCAGCTTTGCGAGTTGTGGTACATACCACGATTACAGTAGTTTCCTGGGGCTCCTGTAACAAATTACCACAAACTTAATGGCTTAAACAATACAAATTTAATTTAATTTACAATTCTGGAGGTCAGAAGTCTGACACAGGTCTCACTGGACTAAGGTCAAGGTGTGTGTAGGAATGCACTCTTTTCTGGAGGCTCTAGGGAAAATCTGTTTTCTTGCCTTTTCTAGCTTCTACAGGCTGCCCACATTCTGGCTCATAGCCCCTTCCTCCATGTTCAAGGTCGGCAATGGTCGGTGAAGTCTTTCTTATATGGCATCACTCTGACGCTCACTCTTCTGCCTCCCTCTTCCATGTTCTAAGAACCCTTGTTATTTTTGGCCCCCCAAATGGAAAATTCAAAATAATCTTATTTTAAGGTAGCTTATTAGCCACTTTAATTCCCTATCGCCATATAACATAACATAGTCACAGGTTCTGGGGATTAGGAAGTGGACATCCTTGAGGCCGGGTTGGGGCAGGGGGTGGGTGCATAATTCTGCCTACCACAGTGATTAAGCTTAAAGTCAAAAAATCTTATAATACTTAGTTTGGGGGATCACTGAAGCCTATCCATCCATCCTCCACACTTTGTAGATGAGATAATTAAGAGAGGTCAAATGACTCACCGCAAATCACACAGCCAGTTAGTGGGAACCCAGGTTTCCCAACCTTTATCTTTCCATTATGTCATTGTACCTCTAACTCTGGCTCATATATATTGCCTTTTTCATCTACAGTTCATTTAAGTGTTTGTCATCTGCATTCATTAAATGTAAGCTTTGTAAGCTGATAAGGAACAACAACTAAGCGTTTAAATTTTTCAGGTCGAAAGATGGATATAAAGTAAGATACAGTAATGAAGATACTAAGTTTAATTGTAACCAGCCTGGACACCCATACCTACACTGTAGAATCACTTTAGAAATAAAACTACTTCAGTAGCTAAGCCCTCTTGGATGGCATCCAAGTCCATCTCACTTTATATATTACCTTACTGTGTGCCAGACACTGCTAATTCAATCAATGAGCAGCCTTTTTTTACCATTTCTAATTTCAATCCAGTATGAATAGTAAGCTCTATGTACTAATAATTTTTTAATAATCATTAGCTCATCCAACATGGCAAACAATGAACAATTATTTAATACCCACTTGTATTTACCACTATTCTCTTCCTTCTTGAGCAATCATCTCTGAAGTTTCATGCTGCAAAGATAAATCAAGCCTGTTCTTGTGGAAAATTAAGTCAGATTTCCTCCAAAGACAAATTCTCATGAAAATCCAATAACAGATATTTTTTTTTAGACATTAGGCTTATAGACCTTGGTTAATCATGCTTTCACTAATCTTAATTTCTTATGACATGTATCACTAGTTTTTAAATTATTCATTCAATGTATATTTACTGATTTTATACTACATACCAGGCACTTCCCTAGGTACAGAGGACACAGCAATGAAAAATAGCCCAAAATCCCTGCCTTATGGAGCCCACATTCTAGTGGAAGAGACAGGCAGTATCACTAGAAATAAGTAAAATACACAGTCTGTTCAATAAATGCTAAGGAGGAAAATAAAGCATGAAAGGGAGATGGAAGTAGTACTTTTAAATCATTGGCCACAGAAAGCCTCACTGAGAAAATGATTTGAGTAAAGACCTAAAGGAAAAAAGGAAGCAAGCCATGCAGATAACCAGAGGAAGAGCATGTGCAAAGGCCCTGAGGCAGAAGTGGACCTCTTATGACATGAACAATGAGTCCAATATGGCTGAAGAAGAAAATAAGGGTGGAGGGAGAGCAACTGATTATTTAAAGGACATTGGGTCATACCTTGGATGAGATGAAAAGCCATTGGAGGGTTTGAGCATATAAGTGACATGGTATGACCCATAAGGGCGGAAGTGAGGCAAGTTCAGAGTTCATTAGAATAATCCAGGCAAGAAATGATGATAGCTTGAAAACAGTGCAAGTAGGGAGAAGTGAGCATCTTCTGATTGTATTTTGAAGGTAAAGCAGACAGGATTTACTGAGGAGTACGAGCTAGGTCAAGGATTACCCCAAGTTCTATGACCTCTGCAAGCGGAAGGGGAAATTGGTGTTTGCTGAGATGGAGAAGATTGTGACAGAGCAAGTTGGGTAGGGAGAGGGCAGTATCAGGAGTTCACAGTGGACATGTGAGATTTGAGGTGCCTGTTAGACGTCCAGCTGACACAGTCAAGAAGACAGATATATGAGTTCAGAGTTCAGAAGAGAGATGTAGCTGGAGATATAAATTTGAGAGTCATCAGTGTATAGATGGTATTTAAAGCCATGAGGCAGGATGAGATCACTGAGGTCTGGGCTCTTAGGGCACTCCACATTGAGAGGATACGTTTTACATAATTTATCTCTTGTCTCCCAGTCTCTCTGTACCCCTAAAATTTGCTTTGAGACAAGCTTGATACAAACCCATGTTTACATTTCCATGGCAATAGACTATGATGTCAACTAAAACCCTATG